CAGAAGGAAATCAAGATACTGGTTTACATAGAGATCTTGACATTCATTGAATCGATTGTTGAATATGTGTCAGTTACACATTCATTGTTTGGCAGTCGAGGACGGCCCAAAGCTTTGGGAACCTGCACCCGCGTGGGAGACCAGGAAGAGGTTCCTGGATCCTGGCTTCGGATCGGCGCAGCATCGGCCGTTGCGCTCACTTGGGGAGTGAATCAAAGAACAGAAGATCTTCCTCTCTGTCTCTCCTCCTCTCTGTATATCTGACTTTGTAATAAAAATGAATAAATCTTTAAAAAAAAAAAAAGCTTACAGAGAGAGAGAAGTAAAAAGCAGGAGCTTAGGAAAGGTTGTCTTTCAAATATAGTTCCTAGTCCTACCTTACCTATCAGAGAAATTATTCCTGCTCTCCTGGAGTCTCCGCAAAGTTCTCATTCTTTTCCCTCAGGGAGTGGAGTCTTCTGCTCTCCGTAAGGGAAGGAGTGAAATTTTAAATACTTCATGTTCGATGTTATATACACTCAAGTAAGGATGCGTTCAAACATCCGGGCCTGCTGGTAGCTCATTGGTACCTTCAGGATTGCTTCGTTTGCACAGCCAGGCTACCCAAGGCTGTCCTTTCCTAAGGAAGTACATGTACAATCTCTAATGAAAGCAGTGGTGTATGACCGCCATAGCCCTGTGCCTGACACGATGGTCCGGTGGATAAATCTTCTCCTTGCAAGTGCCGAGATCCCATAAGGGCTCCAGTTCATGTCCCGGCTGCTCCCCTTCCCATCCAGCTCTCTGTCTGTAGCCTGAGAAAGCAGTAGAGGACGACCCAAAGCATTGGAATTCTGTACCTGTGTGGGAGACCTGGAAGAAGCTCCTGGTTCCTGGCTTCAGATTGCCTCAGCTCAGGCTGTTGCGGCCATTGTGGAGTGAGGCAGTGGATGGAAGATCTTTATTTCTGTCTCCTCTTTTCTCTGCAAATTGATCTTTCCAATAAAAAGAAATGAAAACAATTTTTTTTAAAGTAAAAAGACTACTTTATCCCAACTTGGGACAACTTTAAGTGTCAATTCTAACTTTGTAAACTATGGGAAACTGTACAATTGTTCTCTTCAGTTCTGCTCCTTTCTTGACTTCCATTACAGTCAATCCCAAAGTCACTTCTGCATAAATACATTGCCTGTTCACGTCTTATATTTGCTTCCTGAAACTTCCTGTAACCTGTGACTGCCAGTGCAGGTGAAAGATCTGAGAAAGCATATATATATATATAATATATATGGGGTGCTGGAACATGATAATTAGCTGCCAGTGGGAAGCACTACTATAAGACTGTCCAGTTGTTGGAACTTCCACGTGTGATGAATCAGGCCGGTATACCAGTGGAAGGAAAGAGGTATGAGTGTTGTGCTTTTGATAGATATGGGCTGAAAAAGCACCTATAAGCACAATGGAATTGAGGAAGGGAGCTTGCAAGGGTTCTTGAGATGGGAGAGCTGGGACCAGGGGCAGACCAGGTTGAACACAGCTACAAAACCCAATGGCCTGGGCCCGGCGCGGTGGCGCAAGTGGTTAAAGGTCCTCGCCTTGCACCCCCGGGATCCCATATGGGCGCCGGTTCTAATCCCGGCAGCCCCGCTTCCCTTCCAGCTCCCTGCTTGTGGCCTGGGAAAGCAGTCGAGGACAGCCCAGAGCTTTGGGAACCTGCACCCGCATGGGAGCCCCCGAAGAGGCTCCTGGCTTCGGATCGGCATAGTATCGGCCCGTTGCGCTCACTTGGGGAGTGAATCATCGGACGGAAGATCTTCCTCTCTGTCTCTCCTCTCTGTATATCCGCCTTTCCAATGAAAAAATAATAAAAATAAATCTTTAAAAAAAAAAAAATGGCCTGCATGTAGCTAGGTTACAGGGAGTCTAGATTGGGCTAATTAACTGTATCTACTGGTACATGCTTGAGCCAGAGTAAGTGCAGGCAGGCTGGGCTTTGCCACAGAATCAGCTCGTAAGTACTGGGAATAGGAGCAAGTCCTGTAAGGCTAGAGCACAGAACCACTGGAAAGTACGAGATCTGGGGCTGGGAGGGGGGCCTAGTCAGGAAACTAGTCGGGAAACTCTGATGGACTGCAGCTCCCACAGGTGAGCATGAGAACCAGGGTTGGGGGCGAACCTGGCTAGACAAGTGGTTGCACCCACCAGCATGCATGTGGGCTACATAGTGGGGTCAGTTAGGGTATGGGATGCAGAGCTGACTGGAAGAGTTTGCTGTACATATCGGCATGCACAGCAATCAAGATTGGCGGAGGCCTGGTAGAGGTCACTCTGACTGGGCTGCAGTTCCCACTGGTGTGTATGAGGTTCAAGTGCGTGGTGGGCATGGTTAGGCTGGGCCATAGCATCCACTGATTTGTGTGTGAGATGGTGCTGGAAACAAAACTAACCCCGCAACTGCAACCACCAATGTGTGTGTACTGATGTGGGTAATGAACTGAGCCAGGCCCCACACTGGCTGGAGGTAGGTTGGGGTCATCTCCGGTGTGGTGTCTTTGGGGACCCTGCCCCCCAACTAGAGTGCTGGACTCAAAGCTCCAGCCATGGGGAAAATCATAGGATCTGAGGTCTGTCAGAATTGGGCCGCCTTGGCTGCTGAAGTCTGCAGTGAATGGCATGCCCAGATGCACATGGGGGACATGACAGCTCATTGAGGCCTGCAGAGTACATCTAGTACCCTGGCAGAGGATGGAGGGTAGAAAAAATTGAACAACTCTTCTGGCCAAGCTTTGACAGCAAGTAGCTGGGCAAGTGACAGCTCTAAGGTGGACTGTCAGCCAACGGACTTTGGAGAAATTTCCTCAACCTTGGAACAATGAAATCAACAGCATCTCAGAACTATTGAAACCACTTGAGCAGTATCCTAAGAACATGCCGCGCATCAGGGACCCCAGGATGACATCAGGTGGTGGTCCTCTATCCCTGGGGACTGATGTGGTTGGGCTGCTGGGAGCAGCCCTCTCCCCTTCTCTCTCCTCTACCCCTCGATACAGGAAGAAAATAAATGGAAACAATTGTCTCATCCACTTTCCCCTTTTCTTGACCCTCTCTACCCTAATCAGTGGCCTATATGGATATACATCCTTCTCAACTGTATAAACATCATCAAAACTAAAATAAATATATTTTTTAAAATCCCAAAAAGCAAAAAACAAAGCCTCTCTCACAAAAAGGAATGTGGGTATTGAAGAAATTAAGAGACGGAAAGTATGGATAGAAGGCAAAAAGTCACAGAAGGCTCTGAAACAGCCCAGCATCCGCTCCAGCCCTTCTCCACCCACACCCTTCCTGAGGTGAGGAATTCACAGGGGCATTGGGCAGCATGCCCACCTGAAACCTGAGCCACTCCTCTTTGTAGAACAGGCTACAGCCTGAAATTCTCCTCCACATATTCCTGGGGCTGCTTCAAGCGTCTCTGTGAGCTTCTCCACAGTCTGTCCACCTGAGTGTGGACCTGCTGCAATCTTCTAAGTCCCCAAGTCATCCAAAGGGCAACTATTTATCAGAGATGTGGACCATGCCAACTTGGGAAGTCCCTATGATGGTGGGTGAACCTGGAGAGGACCAGACAATAATAAAAGGGTCCTATCTGTTCTCTTGTTTTTTCTTCCTTCCTCCTGTTCATTTCATGTGTATGTTTGCTGGGGGAGGGGTAGACAGAATTCAGGCTAAAACTATGACCACAATACTCAATTGTGTGTTTGGCACTTATGAAAAATGGCTTTCTTGGATAAGATGTGGCCCTTCTCTTTGTTACTCTTGGGTCAAATTAGTGACGTAGAGAAAAGAGACATTTTTGAGGAACACAGGAGAAAGCATCCACAGCAGGAATGGCCCACAGGTGCACTGGGACCAACATAAAATGACTGCAGCTCTCAGTCATGAGCAGAGGTGGTACAGCCACTGGGTCAAGAACCCAGCTCCGAAGGTACAGTGAACTCTTGTGCCAGGGTGGTCATGGGTGGATGGGCTCCTCTGCTTTGTCCCTCGGCAGGAACCCAACAAGTGAGAGAGCTGTCAGAATCATTGTCATGTGATGATGTGAGCATTGTCTGTGGGAGCCCTCCTGTAATGTGGAGAATAGGAGAAGAACAGTCCTTAGCCCAGAAGTAAACTGATGACAACTATTGTAGATTAGCCATGAAGGATGCTCAGAGAGGAGACAGCCCTGCCTGCCCTGGGTCTCCAAGCTAAAACAGACCCCAAACAAAAGGAAGTAGGAGCAAGAACTTTGTCATACTTCTTTGCCATCACTGTGTCTCTTACATCATAATTATTGTGTCATATTAAACATTCGAATTTTTGGAGTGAAAAAAGTGGTTGAACCAAGATGTGCACAATAAATTTAAAGGTAGAAATTAGCAATGGTTCCCATTCACATTTCTTTTTTTTTTTAAGATTTATTTATTTTTATTGCAAAGTCAGATATACAGAAAGGAGGAGAGACAGAGAGGAAGATCTTCTGTCCTTTGATTCACTCTCCAAGTAAGTGCAGCAGCTAGAGCTGCTCTGATTCCAAGCCAGGAGCCTGGAGCCCCTTCCTGGTCTCCCACACAGGTGCAAGGTCCCAAAACTTGGGGCCGTCCTCAACTGCTTTCCCAAGTCATAAACAGGGAGCTGAATGGAAAGTGGGGCCTCTGGAATTAGAACTGGCACCCATATGGGATCCCGGGACATTCAAGGCGAGGACTTTAGCTGCTAGGCCATCACACCAGGCCCCCCCCACCCCCAATCACATTTCTAAAAGCAATTAGAGAAATGTAAGGGAGACAGAAGAACAGTTTTATGTTATTCCACTGTCAACAGACAGCCAGCATCATAGAAGTGGAGAATGTCCAGTTACCAGGCCAAAAAAGGCTGGCAAAATTATTTGGTCTTGTCCTGTCAAGGCAATCACAGAGGGGACTTCAAAGCCAATAAGTCAATAGCAGGCTAATTTTTAAGTTGAGCATTTTATATGATCCTTTTTTTTTTTTTTTTTTTTTTTTTTTTTACTAAGAAGCCAAGAGCTTTATTGATGCAGCAGGCACTTTACAAGGAACCCGAGGGCCTCTGGGCCACAGGGCCACAGGACGGGTGGCCATACAGACCCTCGGGGCTTCTCCACTTGACCGCACAAGCTCTCCCTCCTCCCATGGCCCACACAGACCTGCACCTGCCCAAGCCACCCCTCCCCCATCCCAACAGGCTGTGCCCACAGGGCCGCCTGCCCAGTGCTGCCAGCCACTCTGCACGCCGCGATGTCCGTTCTGCGTCACTGTAGACAAAGGCATAGGCGATCAGATCCTGCAAAGAATGTGGGCAACACAACTTCTCCCTCCACCTCAAAAACGAAAGACATCTCGGCGGCTATGTGTCCTCAGCCGGCAGTCGGGTGTTCCTTAGGAGATGGTCTGTACTTAGTCCCCGCTTCGCCGGCCTGGGCAGCCAATCTTCTCAAGGTACTGAGTCTATTTTTAAACAGTCTTTCTTGCTGTCAGGACTCGAATAATGGAGCCTAGTCCTCCTACTGCTAAGGCCTTCTCATGCCACTGGAGCAGCACAGCACTGCTGTTCTCTGTGGGCTTCTCGAAGCCTTTATAGATGTACTTCATAAGCAGGTCCACCCCGTTGCGGTCCAGAGACTGCACAGCCTGCTCCATCTCGCTGCTCTTGAAGTTGGTGAGCACCTTCAGCACCACGCCCTGGGCTCGCTCCTTCACAGCCTGGTTCTTGGTGTTGATGGGAGAGTTCCGCAAGGCGGCGTGGAAGGCCCGGAGCATGTCCCCTTGCCGCAGGAGCCCGTCCACCTCGTTCGGGTCCGGGCCTGGCTCTCCCGCCGCTGCCGCCGCCTCCTCTTGCTCGTCCACGAATTTGTTCTCGTCAAACTCGTCGATATCCACCCTGCGGAAGCGTGAAGACAGAGTGTTCCGGGCCATGGCGGGAGCTGGGCGCCGCTCGGCGGGCTCCGCTCCCGGCCCGACCTCGGTCTGCTCCGCTCTGGCTCCGCTCGGCTCCGCTCTTTATATGATCCTTGACTGATGTTATAAATACCCAAATGGCTCTTGGCAGAAAAGGTTCCCCATCCCTGGTAATGTGTGAAACACGTACCTAGATCATGTTCGTGGCTATAACAGCCAACACCCAGTATGATCAACACAACAGTTGTGAATTAAATTTTATTGTTATTTTAGTGTAACCTGCATTTCTCATTTTAATAGTATCCATAATTATTTCATAAGAAATGAATTGCCTATCACACTGCTTATGAAACCTCAGCTTCTCTTGGAAAGGACTAGTTTGTGCCAGCTCTCCAACCTCAGCAGGACACCTACCCCTCTTCATTTAAAAAGCAGAAACTGAGAAAGAAAAGGAGTGGGATCATAGCCCAAGCATATATGGGGGAGTGCACACTTGACTCAGTGATTTTGCAGGCATGGAATGTGGAATGCTTTCAGGAACTGACAAACACAAAGTAGGAAACCATGCTGAACCTGTAAGAGAAACATGTTCTCTTTTAAGATCATTTTCCTAATTATATCAAGTTGTAATTTGCTGGTAGCTTATTGTTGGTTTTTGCTGATTGCCTTCTAGCCAAAGCTGATCTTTGCCTGAGAAGGTCAAAGAATTGTGTCTAGCTAGAATTTAAAATACCACTTTCTGGGTCTCTTGTTACGTGTGATAAGTGAAGCTCCTGCTTTCAGTACCAGCATCCCACATCAGAGTGCGGTTTGAGTCCCTGCTGTTCTGTTTCTGTCCCAGTTCCCCATTATGCACCGAAGAAAGCAGCAGAAAATGGCCCAGGAACTTGGAGCCCTGCCACCCGTGCAGGAGACCCAGGTGGGTCCCGGGCTGCTAGCTTTGCCCTGGACATTTTGGCCATTTGGAGAGTGAATCAGTGGATGGAAGATGTCTCTTTTGGCTCTTTCTCTTGATAACTCTGTTTTTCAAATAAATAACTAAGCATACCACTTTGTTTCCATTTTACTCACTTCTACAATGACATTTTACCTATAGAAAAGATGATTAGTAGCTCACTCCTGGGAACTCAGACAGAGCAAGGACTAGAAGTTCTCTCTGGGGGACTTGATGTTAGATAATGATCTGAATCAGCCTCCTTCTACTCCAATGTATGAATTCTCAGGAAAGAGAATTTGATCAACTTGAGCCCTTTTTAAAAAAAAGTTTATTTATTAGATGGGTAGAATTACAGAAAAAGAGGGAGAAACAGAGAGAGAAAGAAAGCTTCCATTTCCTAATTTATTCCACAAATGGCCATAATGGCCAGGATTGGGCCAAGTCGAAGTCAGGAAGCAGGAGCTCCATCCTGGTCTCCCACATGGGCGGCAGGGATCCAAGGACCTGGGCATCGTGCACTGCTTTCCTGACACGTTAACAGCGAGCTGGATCAGAAGCGGAACAGCTGTGAACTGGCATTCTGATATGTGTGCTGCATCTGGCATAGCTTTCCACAAACACTACGCTGGGTTGAGCCACTATCATCTCTAAAAAAAATGTCCTAAGAATGTTACTGTAGGATGACCCTAAAGCTGAGAGTTCAAACTGCTCCAGGGCCTTCAATGACAAGGTCATAAACTCCCCTTAAAATCTCCAGCTGTTACAGTAGGCATGAGGAGTTAGGTCTCCATTTGGGATGCCTGAACCCCAGACCAGAGTGCCTGGGTGGAGTCCCAGCTCCTCAGCCTCTTATCTGGCTTCCTGCTAATGCAGACCCTGAGGGGCAGCAGGGAGCGGTTGGAGTGGTTGGGTTCTTGCCACTTCCCCTTAGCAGAGCTGCTCTGAGTTTCTGGCTCCTGTCGTTTCCGTCTAATTCAACATAGGATGTTGCAGCATTTGAAGAATAAACCAGTTTGTTTTTCTCTCTCTTTTTCTGTCTCTCTCTCTCCCTATTTCTCTCTGTATTTGTCTCTATTGTCTCTGTTTCTGCTTCTCAAATAAACAAAACAATGAAAGCATCTATTTTATCTATATGTCTACATATTTCCCCTAGTTTCTTACAATGTTATTCATTCATTCTCATTTGTGTGTTTTTATTCATTTAAGGAATAGGTATAGAGACAAAAGAAAAAAGGAGGAAAATACATGGGGAGATCTCTCCCATTTGTTGGTTAACTCCTCAAATAACCACAACAGCTGATATTGGGTCAGGTTAAAAACTCCTGTAGGGTCCAGCAGCATGGCCTAGTGGCTAAAGTCCTCACCTTGAACGCCCCGGGATCCCATATGGGCGCCGGTTCTAATCCCAGCTGCTCCACTTTCCATCCAGCTCCCTGCTTGTGGCCTGGGAAAGCAGTCGTGGACGGCCCAAAGCCTTGGGACCCTGCACCCATGTGGGAGACCTGGAAGAAGTTCCTGGTTCCTGGCTTCGGATCAGCATAGCATCCGGCCGTTGCACTCACTTGGGGAGTGAATCATCGGACGGAAGATCTTCCTCTCTGTCTCTCCTCCTCTCTGTATATCTGACTTTCCAATAAATAAATAAATCTTAAAACAAAACAAAACAAAACAAAACTCCTGAAAAAGCCTCAATCCAGGCTTCCCAGCGGAACAGTAGAAACCCAAATACTTGAGTCATCAACATATACTCTGACCAATCAGACAAGCTTCCTCCTTTGACAAACACATAACCCTGCTCCGGGCCCCCGGTCAGCATCCTTCACTTTCTGTGTCCTTTTGAGGCCTCTCTGCACTGTGGAAGCTGTCTCTGCTTTTTCCAACAATTTCTCTTTTCCGCGTGCTCATTTTTTCCCATTTGCATGCTTCACTCTTTGTGGTCACAAGACAGAGGAGAGAAACTGTCACACTCCTCAAACAGCACAGCAGAGAGAGGCTGTGAGCAACAGGAAAGGAGAGGCTGCAACATGGAGAGCTGTTGTACAAGTCTAAGAGCAGCCCTGAGCCACTGGAGCTGCAGGACTGTCGGGGCTCTCCCCCTGCAACAAAACCACGAGGTCCAACCCACACCTAGGGAGAGGAACGTACTCTTGGGGATGAATCTCAGGAGCCAGGGATGCTGAGGCCTGTCGTAAGAATTTGCCTCTCATGCTGGGAAAGGAGAGAGTTGGTTTTTTTGTTTTGTTTTGTTTGTTTTGCTCTGCTTTGGCCAGAGGAGAATACAGCTGAAAAGAAAGCTGAGGCGTCAGGAGCGTTTGCAGGCCCCAGTGTGTCTAGAACAGACAGAAGGCTCAGACTCCAGCATGCAAGAGCTCTTTCAGTAGGAGACTAGTTAACAAAGGCAAGCAGCAGAAAAATGTTGAGTGAAACATACCACAAAATATGCTAGCCGTAACTTTTCCTGACGAGAAGTACTGGCTGCCAGCTGTATGTACATTGTATCTTCCCAGGGCAGCAGCCTACAGTCAATGAAACAGAGTATTTCTTCATTTCCTCTTTCCTTACCGACACTTGATTTTGGTTTCTAGAACCTCTCCTGAGCTGGGGTGTTTCCTTTAGGGTGAAGACTGAACCGTCCTCCCCCCTCCGCACCCCTCCCACCACTCTCATCTCTCTCATGGTTTCTTCATTCTGACAGCATTAGCAGAGCAGGGAAAACTGCAGATCTACCTCATTAGTTCTCACTTTTCCAACTGCCTATTAAAAATATCTAGCACTTTCTTGGAACACTGCCATCAAGCTGTGTGTCATCGTTATTCAAAACCTAATGTGTCTCAAGGCAGAGTGATGTCTCCCTTAAAGCCAACCCTTCAAACGAACACGCGGAGGAAACCATTAGCCACAGTTACTGATTACCTTTGCGTAAAACATCAGTGCCTTGCAGTAAAGGAGATTTCCACTCTCCACGTTAATGTTGTCTAGATTTTTTAAAAAATGTATTTACTGGAGATACAGATACAGATACAAACAGAAAGAGAGAGCTCCAATTTACTCAATCCATTTACTCCCTAAATACCAGCAGTCATGGGGGTTGCGGGTGGGGACTGGGGGCGGGGCAGAGAACAGGAAGAAAGAATTCATTCCGGGTCTCCCACACAGGTGGAGGAGCCCAGCCACTCAGGCCATCAGCACTGCTTTTCGGGATCCACATTAGCAGGGAGGCTGGAATCAGAAACTGAGCTGGACATCAATCCAGTCAAAGCATTCTGACGTGCAACTCAAGTGTCTCAGCCAGCATCTTAACTAAATTAAAAGCCCACTCCTCACTACTAATCCTTTTTTTTTATGAATAGCTCATCTAATATAATAACAAAATACATAAACACCAGATCTTATTTAACTCAGCGAACTCATCCTCCTAACTTACTTAGGCTGTTAGGTTTCTAGCCCTGGGTCCCCATTCCTGGTCACAACAACACATGTTGGCTTATTGTGAAACCATTAAAACATAAGCTGCAGGGACCCAGACACGCATAGACCTGAGCCAGAGCTGCAGGAGAGACCTCAGAAGTACATCCCTATACTCATATATCCCATCATTAATTCTCCTATGCCACGTTTCCTGAGTTGTGCAGTTGTAGGGTGCCCACAGGCATTCTGGGGGATCTGGCTGAGGAGATGCATGCAATTTATATTTGGTGAGGTGTGTTCAAATGCTCCTCAGTGCAAGTTACTGTTTGCTTCCGAGGAAACTGCTATTGTTCATGAGGCTGACTCACCTGGGATCATGACCTGAAAGTCTGTGTAGAGGCTGGATCACCATGAGAAACTATCTATAGAACCTGGACTTGGAAGTGAGGACAGTGGAATATATTCAATATAGTCCCTGGACTCTTTTACCAATCACTACATGTGAGCCACTAAATGCATGAATCTCTATTCTCATTTGTGACTCTTGGATATATTCTTGATAATGTAATTTTTGCAATGATAAAAAATGAATAAATTTTTGAAATCCTTTGTGATGGGACTTCTGTAAACTACATTTCATTAGAATTTCTGTACCTAAATCTCTTATTGACTTCATGCCAGATAATAATAGACAAAGATAATACAGAATCCAATGCATACCACTATGATCAAGACATGGCCT